TTCTCTTTTTTAGTCTAGACAAATCTTTTTTGTTGATAATCTTATACCGATCAATTGATTATTGATTAACACGTCCGATGTATATTGTTCGCTTTGAAATTCTCGTACAATTTTGTCCTTAAAAGGCACCTCGATGGGTTAAAAAAAGGAGAGTGTATTTAAACTACCATTAACCTCGACTCCTAAGCGATGTGGGATTTCATGAGTGTACCAAAACAAATACTTATTAAAAAATTAATTTAAAATAAATATTTATTACTTGCATCGCCGTTCAACTTAACGAGATTTCTCAACAATCTCCCCCTCCCTCAAGTGTGATTCCCTTTCACATTGGTATACCTCCCTTGAGCGGAAACATTTCTTAGTCATGAGTATCTAGTATTGACCTTACTTGTACTGTCGTTCAACTTAACATGATTTTTCAATAATCTCCCCCTCAAGTGTGATTCTCTTTCACATTGATATACCTCCCCTCGAACAGTGACGAATATTAATAATTGATTTGGGAGGGCAAATAATATATTATTAATAAATAATAAATAAATATAAAAGAGTGAAAGAAGATGAAAGGGTGAGAAGGTAATGCCTAAATAAATATATTAAATGATCATTAAATTTGAGGGGACAAAATCATAAATTATATGAGAGTTAAGAGTGATGAGAGGATAAAATTGTAAATATACATGTAAATATATTAAATGATCATTAAGTTTGGGGGACGACAAAATCATAAATTATATGGGAGTTACCAAACTTTAGAGGGGTCACAACCCCTCGAGCTTCTAAAAAGGAGACTCGCTTGCTCGAAATCTTTAAGACATTAAATTATGGGTTTTTCTCACTTATAAGTTACTTAGCTTTCCTATTTCTACCAAATGTGAAACTTTAAACACACTTGAATTCTCAATTATTAATAATAATCTTACTCTATCAAATTTCAGTATACTATTTTTAATTGAAAAATAAGATGGAATGAAAGAAGAACAAAAAAGGAGGAAAGAGAAAAAAAAGGAAAACAAACACTAAATGAACATTGAGAAAAACAAAATAATAAGAAGTAAATAAAGAGAAAGAAAAAAAAATAAAGGAAGAAAGAATGGAAAATATTGTATTATAGCAGAAGAATTGAATTTTGTGTATGAAGAGTAAACATGTCTAAATAGGTAAATAAGTTTAGATAAAAAAATTTAAAGTAATTTTTCTATTTAAATATATTATTTATGAAATTAATTCCTTATAGGTAACTAGATATAAATAAGTAAACATAAATAAAATATACAAGTAGAAATAAATAAATAAATATAAAAGATAATCAATAAATAATTGAAAAATATATACAAAAATAAATAAAATGATAAATGTTTTAAAGTCAATATAAAAAAAGGAATAAAAGGATAGATATCTCATTTTCATAATTCAATAATTATAGTCCTTTTTTTTATTTATTTTTTCTTCCTCGTCCTTCTCTCTTTCTATATCTTTATCTTCTATTCCTTTCTCACTATCTCTCATCTTTCTTTCTTTCCCTTTCTCACTTTTTCTTTCTCTCTCCCTCTCTCTTCCTCTTATATTTATAATCATAAATATTTTTTCTTTAACTTACATTTAATACTTGTGATAATAACCAACTGTCATTATTATTTTTTAATTTTATTATTAATTTTGTATATGTAATTTTAAACAATAATAATTTTTATTTTTCTAATAAATAAATGACTCTTTTATTATAAAATATTTAAATTACTTAAAAATATTATAATTTAATATATTATATTTAAAAATATTATAATTTAATATATTATATTTAAAAATATTACACTGTTATAATAATTATATCTATAATAATTATTATTATTCAATGTCCGAAAGTGTTATTAAATATGAAATTTATAAATCTCATCGATTTTTTTGCATATAACAATATTTTTTTAAAAAGAATGCATACTTCTTATGTTATTAAAATAATAATAATAATAATATTATTATTATTACTATTATATTATAATATTTAATATTAATATCAATATCTAAAAATGTCTTACATGAAAATATCTTTATTGAGAAAATATTTTATATTATATTGACGTATATTATTAATATGATATATAATATTAATTATCATATTTGGTAAAATTTATGATTTGAATTTTTTTATAGGTATTAAACTAAGTGAATATTTGATAACATTATATTCATAAATATTTTAATATTAATATTTTTCAATATTATCTTGTTATAATATAACTATTTTATTATTGATTTTTTTTAACATTTTCTTCCTATGAACACATATAATATAATATAAATATTTTAATATTTAAATTTAAATATTTTCTTGATGATAATAAGCTTGAATAAATATTTCAAATCAATTATATGTCTTATTTAAAACAAACAATTTATATATTTTATTTAAGATAAAACGAGCTATATATCTTATTATATTCGAAATAAAACGAATTATGTTTGATATAAACAAGTTATATATTTTATTAGATATAAAATGAATTATATATTTTATTAGATATAAAATGAGTTATATATTTTATATCTTATTATATTTGAAATAAAATGAATTATGTTTGATGTAAACAAGTTATATATTTTATTAGATATAAAATGAGTTATATATTTTATTAGAAATAAAATGAGTTATATATTTTATTAGAGATAAAAAGGATTATATATCGAGATCAAACGAGTTACATATCTTATTTAAATAAATAATTATAAATCTATTTAGGTGATTATATAAATTATTTTGGATAAATAAGTTATACACTTTATTCATATAAATTAAATATAAGAATCAATATCATAAATAATATATAGATAAAGAAAAAAATCACCTAAATAGAATCTCTCTAACTTTATTTACCTAATTAGATTTATTTATTTTTAATACACAAATGAGGGAAAAAAATTTATCTCACGTAATATAATTGTTTTTATATCTTTCCTCATTTATTTTATTATTTTTTTCTCTTCATTTATTTTTTTCTTTGTCTTCATTTATTGTTTATCTTCCTTTTTTCTTTTTTTTCCTTTTTTTCTTTAAGAAAATATTATATGATAAAATTGAGATGTTAAAAATATTACAGATATGTTATAATTATTAAGAAAAAAATTAAATATTTATTTTGAAACAAGTTTTTAATAAACATTTTTTTAAATTACCTAATTTAACTAATTATCATAACTCAATATAATTATAATTATATTAAATTATTAAGTAAAAAATACATCTAACTCATAAATATTTGATATTTTTTAATTAATTGAGTAACTATTAATATAATAAAATAATTTTAAGTTAATTATTTATGTTATAGTAAATAAATTTATTTATTGTCAAAATAAATCAAATTATTTATTGTAATTATAATTTTAAATAATTAATTAATATTTTTTAGTTTTAATGTTGATTTTAAAATATTTATTTAATATATTTTTATTAAATTTTAATATGATAGTTTAATTAGGAGAATAAGTGAGATGAAAAAGAGAAAAAAAAAGAAACCTACAAAAAAGATAGAAAAAACAAATGAGGAAAGAGAAAAAAATAAAATTTTTTTACGAAGAAACGAAAAGAAATTATACATATAAACAATAAACAAACTTATTTGAGGAAATAAAGATTTTATTTAAATAATTTTTTTTAAATATGTTATTCATATGATTCATTCAAAATATGTATAGTTCGTCAATTCAATGTTTTAAAATTGAGTTACATAGAAAATGCATTACCAATCCAAAATAAGTAAATTAAAAAAATATCATCAATCTTTTGAGCATATCATTAATTACTTCAAATCAGAATAACATAAGTCATTAACTATACTCTGAAGTATCACTATGAGCACAATGTAGAATATTAAATATTCTATCTCAAAAAAAATATTAGCGTCGACTATTCACCAAAATTTATTTTTTACCATAATAAAAAATGCTACAAAACACAAGCAACTATTTATTCACTTATTTATAAAACATGCTATAAAATATTACATTTTTAAAATGCATAAAAGTTATTTAGAAGCTATTATAAAAAGTCATACAGCTATATTAAAAAATTCACTATATTTGAATCACGAACAATCGGTTATGCTGAAAAATCACGTAATAATATGAAGTTATAATAAATAACCTAAACAATTAAATATGCTATACATAAAAAAAAATCAATAATCATACGCAAAAACTATTTTATTATTAAATAATATATTATATATCATCATTCATAAATGAGAATATATGAGTTCATTATTATGAATTCATATAAAAATATTAGTTTTGAACCAAATTATATAAATTTGTGATAGTTATTATAAAGCTCATTATTCTTAATAGATGAAAAAATCGATATAAATTAATTACCCACCTGTTTAATAACTTATATTTAGATTCTGAATTTTGAGATTCATGAATACACATAATATACAATAAAATATTTTACAAATTAATTATTAATATATTAATTGAAGAAACTAATAATAACAAGACTCTTAATAATGAAATATTAATAATTATAAAAGAATATAATACCATTTTTAATTTAAAATTTTAAGATATTAAATTATAAATTTTTCTTATTTATAAGTTATTCATATTTTTTTTATTTTTACTTTCTCGATATTTGCTTCATGAATTCTTCATATTATTTATAATTTATTTATATTTTTAAACAAACCAATTTTAACTTTATCTTTTTCATCTATTTTCTTCCTTTTTACCAAATGGAAAAAAAAATGTAAGAAACAAAAAGAAAAACAAAGTTTCCCTCTGTTTTTATTATAGATATAGTCAGTTATATTGCAGAAAATACAAAAAACACCATCATCAAAAGTCACAGGGCCACGACAATGACCAAGAAAGTCATAACCTCTTGACACACTCATATAGCACGAATCCAACAACAGAATTACATGCCAAATTTATTCTTCATCTCTCTTTTCACATTACACACAAGCACTGTTCTCATAGCAGAGAACATAATTGATTCACTCTTCCATGCAGATGAGACACCTTATCCCCTCCCCTCTCAACATAAGGTCAAATGCCTTGTTGATCTCTGAGAATGGCACAGTGTGAGTGATAAATTTGTCCAGTTCCAGCTCCTGCATTATTATTAATTCTAATTGTCACGTCCTACACAGATTATTAGATAATCTTCAACTAAGTAATTGATATTAATCTTCGTATAATATATCATTAAATTTAAATGTTATTACATATACGTATATATATATATATATATATATATATATATATATATATATATATATATATAGAATATCTAGCTTTATGATTACCTTGTTGAGGTACTTCTCCACAACAGAAGGAATATCAGTGCGGGGTTTGTAGTGGCCATAGAAGGTACCCTTGAGAGTTCTCCCTTCCATGAATTTCATAGGATGAGTTTTGAATTCAACATCCTTCTTTGGAACACTAACAAGTACAGCAACACCCCAACCCTGAGAAGATGCATTGGATGTTTAGTTAAATTCATACTGATGTAGTTAGTAACAAGAATAATAGCTCTGGGGTGTTAGGAAAATACATCATGAGTGCATTCAAATGCTGAGATCGAAGCTTGAATGCTTCCAGTGCATTCAATAGCACGATCTACTCCTCCATCAGTCATTTCAGCAATTACCTTAGTGTCAATATCATAGCAGCAGATATAGAGAATTAGTTCCCTTGGATTTTAATTAAATTACAATGTATAAAATAAAGCATACTCACTGAAGTATGAACATAATGGAAGTGGAACTATTTTAGCAAATGGAAATTAAACTTCCGTATAAATTGTCTGCAATGTATGAACTAACCTGTTGAACTGGTTTGTTATGCTCTTTCGGGTTCACAAATTCAGTGACCCCAAATTGTTTGGCTGACCAAGAACAATGAAATGGAGATTTTCATCAGTAATTGAAGATAGCAATGTAATTAGCCATTTGATATTTAAAATCTGAGGGATTATCAAATGCACAAAATTCAGGTGTATCATGTGTTTTTTACTATTCTCTATTCAATAATTCTTTAATGCACTGATTAACAAGGTAAAACTCTAGTATTGATTAGAGAACAATATCACAAACACTTTTGAAGACATCAACCACATCTATGTTTAGTCCTAACTGAATTTACCTTGTTCAAATCGACTGGTAAGTAAATCAACCCCAATGATCCTCGATGCACCAGAAACCCTTGCTCCTTCACAGGCCTAAAAATCCAAATTACAAGATAAGAACTATAGCCATTGTAGTCTTTTACTTTATTGCGGGAAAAACCAGAGAAGGATAACATACAGCAAGACCAACAGCTCCTAATCCAAAGACAGCAACAGTATCATTAGGCTTTGGTTTTGCAACATTTACAGTAGCACCAAAACCTGCATGTACAAAATTCATATATATATTAAAGAAATCTAGATTGGTTTGAATATTTATGTCATGTAAAAGTTAATGGAGACCAAAAACAAGTAATGGTTTAGAACTACATAATGATTTCTTGTACAAACCTGTGCAAAATCCGCAACTGACAACACAAACTTTGTCAAGTGGGGCAGCAGGGTTGATCTTGGCAACACAGCCAGCGTGAAGAACAGTGTATTCACTGAATGTAGAGGTTCCCAGAAAGTGGTAAATTGGTTGTCCATTTTTGGAGAACCTTGTTTTGCCATCACTCAGCATAACTCCTCTGTCACTGTTGATCCTGAGTAACTCACACAGATTGCTCTCTTCTGACTTGCAATATTTGCATTCCCCACACTCCCCGGTGAATATTGGGAGTGCATGATCACCTGGTTTCAGATGGGTAACACCCTCTCCCACGCTCTCCACAATCCTAGTTCATCCATTAACATTACCACAATTAAATGTGTAACAGTAGTATTAATAATCATGTTACTTCAAATCATAACACTTGCTCCAGAGTTGAATTAGTTAAGAAGAATAATGGGTTCAATTTAGTTTCTTGATTTATCTATCTTCAACTCAATATATTTTATTTTAAATGTTAGAAAATTTCTAATAAGTTTTAAAACTGGACAATTTTTGTCTCATAAAAAATAGTTATTGAATAAGTTATCACTTGAAAAATAGTCTTCTCCAAAAACATACCCAGAAGCTTCATGCCCTAAGATACGAGGGAACAACGGATTCTGACCCTGAAAAGCAAAACCGACAAAAATGTTAGGCCATATAAACACATCAATTATCAATTCATGACTAGTAAAGTATTTATGAAATACAAGATTATTCAGTGTATGTGTATTTTAATTTTATTAAAAAACTCATTTAAAAAAATTTAATTTAGTTAGAAATTATATTAGATTAAAGTATCATCGTTTGTTTGTTTATTGATTTTAAATATAATTTTCAGTTGTTTGATTTAAAAAAAATATATATTTATAATTATCTTATTAAAATAGTTTCTAAAAAATATTTTATTTTTTAGTTTTAAAAATTTTAAAAATCAAAATTGATAAAAGGTATTTTTATTTTTTTATTAAAGGGTATCAAACGTTTTATTTAATGATTAAAATAAATTATTCATTTATATTATTTTCAAATTTTCGTCATGTATTTATAATTATTTGTTTTTTTTTTCATTTAAAAATAGAATTATTAAATAAAATTTGTAATTTATTTTTTAAAATAAATTTCCAAAATTAATCTCTAAAATTATTTTTAAAATTAAAAAAAAATATAGATTCTAATCATTAATGACTCACAAGAAAAATGTTCCTTCATAAAAGTTAAAAAAAAAAAAACACAAAAACTTTGAGAGGGTGTGTCCTACGTAATGAAAAAAAAATTGACAACTTGATTTATTAAAACAACAAAATTAATTAATTTTATTTTAATTGAATAATTTCAAAATTATAAATTAATAAAGTTAAAGAATTATTATCTATATATATATATATATATATATATATATATATATATATATATAGCTACCCTACAAAATGCATGCGTAGATTTGCCGCGTTTCTAAACCACTATGTATTTAAATTTAAAATATTTCAAAATGTTAATTTCTTTAACAAAGGTGAGTGAGATCAATTTTATTGATTACCAACTTTGATATTGAGAAATTAACTTTTGAGATTTGTGTGCGTAAAAATCATAATTCTTAGTTATTTTGTTTTGCCATCTAAGGTGACGTGATTAACAGAAATTAAAAAATTAGTATATATTTAAAGGGTACGAAAAATAAATATATTCCTATGTAAAAGTCTGTAAATTATTAGAGACTAAAACAGAAACATAAGAGACTAAAATAAAACAAATACATCTTACAAGAATATAAATATATTTTTTTTAAATACAATTCTAAATCAAAGAAACCAAAAAATCATTTAAGACAATGATATTAATACTATTTTTTTTTTCTGTTCCACTCAGTAACTTAAAAATCATCATGAATAAATTTGTATGCGTTGTGAGTTCATTTTCTTAGCACGAAAAATCACAAAATTTTGGTACCTTCTCTCTTTCTTTAAAGCACGGGCTTACTATTTTTTTTTCTTGTTATAAAATTAATAAAAAATCTATCTAAGTTTTTTAAATTTAAAACAATGTAGACAAAAAATTGTATTAAAACATATTTAATTATTTCATCAACTTTTATAGTTAATAACGAAAAGATTAAAAAAATAACCAACACTACACTTGTACAGTGACACCAGTACATATTTTGCATTACCAAGTGTTATGAAAGAGAGTACTTCCTTTTTTTTTTTTTTCAAAAACAATAACATTTTTTAAAGTTAATAAAATTTAAATTGATATTATTTTGTTAATGATAGATTTTATAAAATATCATAAATTTAATTAATGCATATTATTTTTTATGAAATAATATATATTTATGTGATATGAATAAAATTAAATAATTTTTTTTATTTCTTCTAATTTTATTATATTATTAATTTTAGTGTTAATTTATTTTTTAAAATAAATCGATATTGTCTTTACCATAATTCTATTAAAATATTTACTAACATATATTAATATAACATTAACGTGGATATTATATTTATATTATTAATAATATTGTTATATTATTTATATATAGAGAGATCAATCTTATAATAATTTCATATAAAAGATATATGAATATATGATTTAATTGTGTTAATGAAATTAAAATAAAAATACATTTTAAGAAGAAAATCCATAATGGTTGGTGCAAAGAAGATGAAGGATGTAAACAAATCGGTACCTTAACATCCCACCAGTAAACATCAGTACGGCAAAGGGAGTTGAAGAGGATCTTCAAGCGCACTTCTCCTTTCTGGGGAGGTGCCACTTCTATCGTCTCTATCGTCAATGGCTTCTCCGGTTCCCATGCCACCGCAGCTGCATTTTTTTTTTCATCCTTTCCAATTTTAGATGGTGAAGACTAAAACAATAATTATTTGGTGTACAAGAGAAATGAGAACCCTGACTTTACGAACAGAAGCACTGTGAACAAAACATTCTCACCTCTGCACCTGATGACCTTACCAGCAGTACCAGACATGGCTTCAATTTTTTTCAAGAGAATTAATTTATTATTGATGACTTGATGAGATGATTCTGCTTTGGGGATGGGTGCACTATTTATAGCGGAAAAACTTGAAATTTTGTGTACCAAAAATTACTATGCATTGAAAGAAATGTGCTCGAGGATAAGAATTATGAAGGACGATTCACTTTAATTAATTATTTATGTGCCACAAGTTATTATCAAGCGCAATAAAGATGTTTTGGAAATTTAAGTAATGTTTTAAATAAATAAATCCAAATAATATTTAATCATGCTGTCAAACTTCATGCAAATTAACTTTATTTAAAATATAAAATTGTTAAGTTCTTTTGTGATTACACAAAGCTAAAAGGAGAGTATATTTAAACAGTAAATAAAGTTTTCTTAATTTTTAAATTATTAAAAGGGTTAGCTAAAAAAAACATTTTATTGCTGAAATAAGTAGAAGATTAATATAAATAAATAAATAATCTTATAAAAATATGCAGAGAAGATGAAAGATACAAATCATAGAGATAGCAAAGGTTCTCTACCCTCTTCAATAATGGAGCTGCCTAACAAACTAAAAGTTAAATCATTGCTAACAAAATATCACTCTCCATTTTGGTCTATCATCATAGAACATGTACTGTAATTTTTTTAATCATATTATTAATATGGATTTTAGGAAAAAAGATGACTAATCATCTTTTAAGTATAATGTCTTAACATTCACGTTTGTTTATCTATATATAAGATTCCAACTCAATAAATTATTTAAATATATCAACTATAATAAAAAAAACTTGCGTTTTTAAATACTTTTCCTTCGATTATTTTTATTAATTTGAAAGATAAAAATATACCCTTCAGTAGAAAAATATGTATTTAGTGGTAATAAAAAAATTAGTTTCACTCACCTCAATTAAGAATTAAATTAAAGTGATTTATGAATATTTTCCTAATACGGATAATATATTGATATGGTACTAGATTTTAATAATTTTTTTAAAGATAAAATCATAATAGATAAGAAAATTAAAATAAACAGAAAATATATGGGATTGTTTGTGGAGGGAAGAAATATTTATTTATCAAGCTTAATCAAACTTAGTTTCATAAACCAAATTTATAGGAGTGAAATTCGACCTAATTCCTTTTAATTAAGATGTGGAATAAGCAAATTGGAGTCTTGAAGAAGAAAAAAATGATAAAAGAAGGATTTTCAATGCATGTGATTAACCCAATGTAAACATGAAAGTAAACAGGTTTCAATTAGTTTTAAAATTGTATCTGAGACATCAATTCAAAATACCAGCTAAGCTTTATTTGTTTGGCTTGAAGCAATAATTGAATTGCTTTTGCTTTTTACTTTTTCTGTAACAATCAATATTTTTCATATCAAATAACCCGTTATATTTTTTTTCCAATTTAAGAATTTAAACTAATTGTAATAATTACAGATATAAAGTGATTTTGATTGAAGTTGTCTAAATAACATTAATCGAGTCGAGTGAGTATGAATTATAGATAAAATATACAAACAAAATGAAGACTATAAAAGTAAGGTGAGAGGAGAGATAATATATATATATATATATATATATATATATATATATATATATATATCCATGCATAGTTGATGGTTGTCGCAGGGATAGTTTTAGCTAACATGTTTGTTTGATTCCATTTTTCAGTGCTCACTTCCTTGTACCGTGAGATTCTTTCAGGCTAATTTTTTGACTTTTCCCCCGTTTCTAATTCTATTTTAACTCATTCTACTCAAGAAGAGGATAGCTTTCACTACTCTAGCTGTTGAATCTGGCGACGCGCGTCGTAACTTTGCACTGCATGCTTTCCAAGTGTTCGTCATGTATAGGTTTTACCTAGGTGGCTAGATATACTTCAACTGCCATTTATTCTCCAATTTTCATAATTTATTCAGAAAATTACAGGGTATTATCTTATTTGAAAAGTATTCAAAAAGTCCACTATTTGAAATTTTTCTCTTTCACAAAAATCAAACTAACAAATTATATCTATAAAATCATCTCACAAATCTTCCCTCATTACTCACTCGCCTGTCCTTTTCTCTCTAATCAAAATTAACTTGTTTCCGTAAATACATATATAATATTGATATAATAGGTTTTTGTGATACAAAATTATTTATGAGAACATACTAAAGTATATATATATAAATTTTTATATTTAAAATATAATAACATTGAATCAGTTTTTATATTCAAGATATTATCTATTTTAAAATTTATTCGAAATAATTTTATTTTTAAAAAATATTTCAATAAATAAAAAGAGAATAATATTATAAATTATTTTTAATTTCTATTCCTCAATTATATGTTTCTATACACATGTTAGAAAAATATTAATTTTATAATATATATATATATATATATATATATATTATAAAATTTTAAAATAGTCTTAAAAGCAATTTAATGAAGATTCGGTGGTATTTGTTGTTGCTCCCACCATGCAGTGATGACACAAAACAGCAACAACAATCACAACAGAGTGTAGACGAAGATAATAACATAAAGTGACTGTGTAACAAAGAATAAGAGTCATTACCAAAGAAAAAACGTCGAAGACTTAAAAGAATTTTCTGTAAATGATATATTCTATATTATTCCGTTTTCAACGTAAAACTAATTTTTATTTTTATTTTCTAATTCATTAAATATTTTTTTTAAAATAAAATTATAACAAATAAAAACCTTTAAAACAAATAATATCTTATATATAAAAATTGACGTTAATAATATTATTATAACACATATTTAAACATTATCATTAGAGGAAAAATAATAAATATAAAAATTTATTTTAAATTATAAATTTATCAAAGCAAATATTCTTTACGATTATTTATGAGATGTGAAATATTGTTATTAGAAATTGTTTTTTTAATGATTGAAATTTGTGATGATAAAATCTTTAATAATTATTATGCATTTATTTTAACTAAGTAGTTATCTGTATTAATGTTTGAAAATTTGGATATTCAACTTAGTTTAAATTTTAAGAAGCTGCATTGTTTTTTTCCTGAAAATAGGTAATGCATATGGTCAAAAAATTTAATCATATATCACAAATTTAACAAGTTTGTAGATGTTTATTATAAATTTTGGAAAATTGTAAAACGATGGTTGTTAGACTATAATCGCGTCAAAGTTTTTACTCTTAAGATTTAAGGTTTAAGTAATTTTGTAGGTGTTTGTAAAACTGGTATTAGCAAAAGAGATTAATGTGAAATAATTTTCCGGTGAAAGGTCATGTCAAATTAATTAGATGGAAGAAAATAATGGACGACCACGAAGTCCAGAAAGGTCAATAAATCTTGTACGGAACTTCTTTACGTCTTTTCACCTTTTTAATTAGGATAAATGGCAATGTCTGGAAAATAAATGATTACTTATTTGGAAGTTTTTAAAATCCAATAGATGTTTTTGCCAAAAAATATGAGTTTGGATTTAAATGTTTAGATTTAATAAAATAATATTTTCATAATATAATAAATTTATTAATAATGTTATTTAAAAAAAATAAAAACTATTATCATGATTTTATTTAAAAAATAATACAAATTATTATTATAATTATTATAAGTTATAATGAAAATTATAACTATAAAATATATATATAAATATAATATAAATAATTGTTAAAATAAAATAAAAAATTATAACATAATTAATATGAAAGAAAAAAATTAAAATATTATATATATATAATATTAAAAAAAGTGATCGTTAAATTTTGTTTTTACGATAAAAAAATTAATTAATTTTTTGTGTTTAATAGATTTTGTACTTTTTTAAATTTATCCTAATTTAATTAAAATTTTATTATTTAAAAATAATAAACTAATTTTTAAATCGATTTTTATTAGATAAATTGAATCAATCTATTCGATTTAATTTTTAAAATAGTGATTGTTTGTTAAGTTGTACTTGATTTTATTTTCTTTAATAAAATATTCTAACATAAAAAAAGTATGCTTAGTTATGAGAATGACAAATTAATATTAATATTGTGATAAAAATGATAATTTAAATTCTCTAATTTTCACAGATTATAGACATTTGCAGAGAATAATTTAAATTATACTTATTTTCTTATGACACTCATATAAATTATTCATTCAAAGAAACAAGTACGGTTGATTTATACTTGAATTTTTCTTGTTAAATGTTAGTAATTTTTTTATTTGTATGAAAAATATCTTTGTTAGAAGACTTTATACTTATTTTAATTATTTTTTCATACCAAAAAAGCTAGGATAGAAAATAGTGTGATAGAAATGAAATATTTTAAAAGAAAGTGGTGGTATAATAAATAAAACATTTTAAAAGAAAGTGGTATTATAATAAGTAAAAAATTAAAAAGTAAACATCACTGCATTTTTCTTAAACAATACTATTCATGATAATGTAAATATTTTTCTAATAAAATAATAGTCTTTATTACTCCACGGTGGATGATAAAATTGCTATGGACAGTGCAAAACTTAGGGATAAGGACATATTGAATTTATTAACTTTTTGTCACGAAATTTCTTATTATAAGAGCCTTGACTATACCAAACAATTTGTCAAAACTAATTCATTGATATTAGTGGTTAGTAGAACTTCTTCTGTGCCACATTTAGATCATTCCATGACATATGTGACACGCGTGCACACATTCACGCACCACCCAAGGTTTTAGAAAAAATTATCAATTTCCTAGGGTTTGAGAAAACCACCGAAGATAATATTCAATTTTTCCTTACCTTCGCACGCCATGAGTTTTAAAAATTAATAAAAATATTTTTTTAGTATTTGATTTAATCAATAATTATACAAATAATTGATTTTTATCCACAAATATATCATTTTTCACTTTTTTTTACAGTTATTTTCTTTCGTTTACAACATTTTTAAAAATAAAATTATTAAACAATTTTTCATTTAACTTATTTTCAAAAAAAATTTTATAAAAATATTTTTAAGTCTGTTTTTAAAAATTAAAAAACACAATTAAATTGAACAAATATTTAATGTTATATTATTCTACTGGGTAATGCTGGACTTTTTTCATGAATAACAATAATGTTGATTGTAAGTATAGAAATAATTACACTGATATTTTTTCATCATTTTAAATTATTTAAATTCAGTTTTAATCTCTTCAAAATTGTGTCTCCTTTTAATTATTTTAATTTTGTAAATCATCATTCTTAAAACAATTCGATTAAGGAGATCTTACTTTTCCTGCTAATTTAAAATTGGTATATTAGTAGTAGATATATTTTATTCAAACATGATCAGATACTCAAAATTTATATTATTGTTTTATTATTAATGGCATAAGTTACTTAATAATTAAAATTAAAAAGTAAATTATTTCCAATAACACTAATATAATTTGGAAGTAATTTCAAATGGAATACACTAACTCATATTATAAGGTTTATCACAAACTTGTACACATACGTCGAGTAAGATATGCGTGTAATTAATTTCACACTATTATACAAAAAAATTAAATTAATTTATTTTGGTATATTATAAAATTTAGTTTACTTTGTGTTTATATTTTTATTTAAAAGAAAAATATAAAATTGGTATACCGTTTTATTGAAGTTTGCTTATTAACTTAGTTATTATTGAATATCTAATCTTTATTTTTGAACTTTAAATATTTTTATCAAAACCTGAACAAACTTTTTTTTCTATTTTCTTTTATTACTCCCTAATATTAAATATAATAAAAGACTTAATATTTGAAGAAAAAATTAATATATTCAAAATTAACATAATAAAAAGATAGAAAAATTAATACTAAACTTTTAAGTATTTTAATTAAAAACATATTTTATGTTTTCTTACTTCTACAAATAATGTTCATGAATAAAGATACATTTATCCCATAAACTTTTATTTATATATATATAAATAAAGTATGATACAACAGAAAGAAAATAATAATAATAATAACAACGAAAACACTTCATGAATCACCACTCTTTTGCACATACATCATCAATGACTTCTAGCAGGATTAGATGAAAGTTCAATTCTTGTATTACAAGCTCAAAGAACTAATGGAGTTATATATTCTCTGTTCTGTTTTTATGTCACTGACATATAATTTGCTAGAAGACACAAAATGTAAGGCCAGAAAAAAAAAAATGACCAAAACTATGGTTGTGAAAGTGTAAAACTGAGTAGAAAACTAATCTATCAGGAAGTAGTAAGTAGCATCATGTCCTTGAATTCTTGAAAATCAAGTTTGCCATCAAAATTAGTGTCATAAGAGCATATCATGGTTGTGCTATCCTTCCCACACCCTTCATCCCACATGCCAAGCTTCTTCAACACACACTCAAGTTCTTGGCTTGTGATGAACCCATCACCATCCAAATCAAACACCTTGAAAGCCTTCACAAGGTCCCTCTCCACCTTCTCAATCTCATCACCATCATCACCTCCTTCTTCCTCCCCATTGCCCTGCTTCAACATAGATTCATAAAAGAACAAAAATTCACTCAAGTCAAGGCTCTTCTTTCCCACAAGAGACTCCAACTCCTTGATGCTGTAGTTGAAGCCCGTCTTCTCTAGCAGCATGTTCAGCTCCTCAAGGCTCAAAAATCCATCTCCATCCATGTCCACCTTCTCAAAAATCTTCTGCAAATCACTGTGTGATAGAGGACACATTTAGTTTTCAAAAGGGTGTTTGAATATATCTAAGGTTTATGTTATTCTTTGTCAAAGCTTGCAGCACTGTATCTCAATTGTTCATTCATAGATGTAATTGCAAGACAAATAATGTCTATATATACACACAAATTACATGTGGACACCACTGTGAGAAATTATCCTACAAAAAGATTGAGACTTATGATATTGGTGATGTGGCTGAGAATGATCCAAGTCTACTTGACAATTTGAAGGAAATTTCACTCTTTGCTTTGAAAACAACTTTGATTATTCCAATGGGATATTTATGTGTCGAATTTTCTAGTCTATGAATTTTAGTATATAGTTTTAATTTGTATGGTTAAATAATTTCCTATTGGTATACAATTATGCTGCTGTTTTGTACCTTAGTGTGGATCGAAGATGTTTTTTTTTCTCTCTGTGTCTCTTTCATGAAGATTTTGGACGGTGGACTATGCAAATACGCCAATACAATCGACAAAGTGTTTACTGAAATGTTTGTTCCAGATTAATCTATAGAGTACACTTATCCTATCCTATAGATATGGATATATATGAAAACAAAATACATACTATGTGCTCTTTTGTTCATTATTTTATTGCATAAAAAAATTTGTAGAATTAATATATATAATTTTATGTTTTATGTCATCACTTATTTTTACTGTTTTATACTAAAAAGATATTCATCTTTAAACTAACTGGTATTTTAGGTGTGTATTTCGCATAATAATTTGTTATAAATTAATAGTTATACATAAGTTATATTGTATTTAAAATTAGTAATATATAATTTATATATATATATATATATTTATATTTATGATAAATAATTTTTTTAGCAATATATATTATTTTTAAATATTATAACTTTTTTAAATATTGACATTAAATTAAACAGATAATTTAAAAAATGATAAATTAGAAATGTAGACAAATATTTTTTTTAGTAACTTGAAATAAGAGGAGTTTTTTTTAAAGAAAATCAAATGCACATATTTTACATGATAAAAAAAATTTAGGCTGAATTGTAATATTGATTTTCTTTAATTTTTGATTCATGCATTTGTTACTTATATTTTTTTTTCATAATTTTAATAATCAAGTTTCCAAAATCTATAAATTTAATTTTATTTTAAAATTTACATATATATATATATATTAGTATAATATGAAAATAATTTGATTTATTAAAATATTAAAAACAAAACAAATTAAGAATTAGAACAATCTTCTTAAATTTTTAAAAATAAAGATATTAAAATTCACAGATCAGAAATTAAAAACATTAAAATTGTGATTTTATAAAATATTATAAATTTTTTTGAAAATATAAGGGTCAAGAGTGATCTTATCTTACAATTACTGATAAGATAAATATCCTAATTAAACACCATTAAATATTTTATATATAGAAAAATTATCTGCTACGACGGTAGTGTTAGAGCGTTTGACAGTAAAGTAGCAATATCAAGGGTTTCCCCTATGCCAGTGACACTACACTCCCGGAAGAGAACAAAAAATAAATTATTGGTCAATTTGTTTTCAGCTCCAAACTTTGTTATGGTACATGCCTTTGACTCCTTTTGTGCATGTTCATGGATGCGAGTATACCTTTTTTTTTTTTTTTTTTTCCTCTATCGATAAGAAAGTACAATCTTGTTTGGAAGGATTTGCTGAATGACTTTTTCTTAAATTTTTGTTTTATGTCCTTAATTTGTTTTATAATGCGTACGCGTTCATTCGTCGAGTGTTTGCTAATTAATTAATCATCATTTTTTGTTTCGTTGTTGTAGGGCATAAGGTTATAAGGAAACACAGTGAATGTGACATTGAAGGGGTACATGCAGTGGATCTAATTATCCATAGGTACAAGAACCAACCATTGTTTTGAAAAATAAGGGAATGTGTTTACTTGGGGTAGTAGTTCATTTGATTGTGCTATAAGCAATGGGGATAAGAATGATCATGATCGATTTTGGGAATGCAGAATGTCATTAGGGAAGGAAATTGATCTTTCAATTGAAAGCCTGTGACGTGTTGGTAAATGGAACATAATATTCATTTGGGTATTCATTATCAAATGAATATCAAATTAGTTATTTGACAACTTTTTATTATTATGCCATCGATTACTGTATGGTGTTGCTATTTTGGATTTGTTTTGTCTTGATTGGCTGGTTTGAAGTGTTATACTATTTATCTGAGTGATGAAATAACCTTTTGCTAACATTTTGCTCTTTATTTTGAAGATAATATGTGCAGAATGGTTATGAATGTTATTGTTGCTGCTTAATGTTTAGTTGTGAAGTTTTGGAATGATTTTAGAGAACACTTTGATTTGAGGCCGATTCTTAATTTAAGAAACTCTCTTGCGCTTTCCAAGAAAGAATAGTAAAACATATAGTTGCCCCATGTTCAAGTTGTATTATTTCAATTGAGCATAAACGTCTAGTGATGAGTATAACTATGTTTCTATTGCTGTGTATTATAATCATTCATGTTATTTGTATGTGCATCAAACAAATGGATTGTTATCTATTGATGTATTTAATGAGTTGATGTACTGTATCTGTTGTTTGTATTTCATTTTTGTTTTCATTAATGCTTCCTTCTCTATTAGGAAATCACTGTCATTTTTTACACTAGGTAGCCATGTCCACCAAACTAATGTAATATTTTTTATTTATTTTCTTTTTTCTGTTTTTAGTATGTAGTCCTGTCTCAAAGGAGGACACTGTTCTTGTTAATGAAAATGGAGTCTGCTAGGGTTGTGATTGATTTGGATGATTATGATATGAGTGAGAATCAGATAGTTCCCATTTCTGGAGATTATAGGTTAGAAAGACGATGGAAGAGATTTGAACTTTCAAATAAACGTGTAAAGCGCAGTCACCATGGCAGTGGTACAAGATCAAGCACAAAGCGTCGTGGAAATATGGCGAGTTTAATAGTACAAGAGAGTCATACGTTGGAGGATGAAGTGGATGAAGATTACAAATTGTTTTTGGCGACATATAACCCTGAAGATATTGATGTTATCAGTGATGGTAAAGTTGATGGTTCTGATAATGACATCAACATTGGCTACGACAGTACCCATTATGATCATCAGTATAGAATGTTCTTGGAAGAAGAAAGGTTTCATAATGATCTCGAGTTAGAGACTGAGAGGATGAGGGGTTCAAAAAATAGGGTTGAAACAAAAAGTAGAGGAGATAAAGGGATTGATTTAGTGAGAAAACAGACAAGTGGCCCAATAAAATCTCAGCCGAATTTGGAAGCTAAAAGAAGACTTAGTAAGAAAAGACCACATGAAGATGTGTCTGGTGAACCAAAAAACAAGTGCCACACTGAGTCGAAGGGTTCAAAACAAAGGGATGAGACTGGAAGTCAAGCATATAAAGGAAGTGTTTCGGTGAGAAAACGAACAGGTGACCCAATGAAATCTCAGCAGAATTTGGAGGCTAAAAGAGGACTTAGTAAGAAAAGAACATACGAAGATGTCTCTGGTGTGGCCAAAAACATTTATCACACTGAGATGATGAAGGGTTCAAAACAGAGTAGCGAGTCTGGAAATAAAAGGACTGATTCAGTGAGAAAACAGACAAGCCGCACAATGAAATCTCAGCTGAATTTGGAGGCTAAAAGAGGACTTAGTAAGAAAAGGCCATATGAAGGTGTTTCAGTTGTGCCCGAGAACATTTGCCACAGTACGGAGTTAGATGTTGTGGATGAAGATTACCAGATATTCCTGAATTCTTGTATGGATGACCATATACCTAGTGAATTAATAGGAAATATTTCAAGTGTTATGCAAAATTCACAGGTTCCTGATCATGTGCTGAGTGAAGTTGATGAAGATTACTTACAATATCTGAATTCTGTTAGGATTGTTGATGATGAGGTGGCGTGTTTGCCTGAGAGGAATACTTCAAAGACAGACATGCCTGAGAGGAATACCTTGGAGACAGACATCCCTGAGAAGAATATCTCAGAGACAGACATCTCTGAGAAGAATATCTCAGAGACAGACATGCCTGAGGGGAATACCTCAGAGGTAGACATGCCTGAGGGAAATACCTCAGAGGCAGACATGCCTGAGGGGAATACCTTAAATACAGACATACCTGAGAGGAATATCTCAAATACAGTCAATGTGGATGGTGACAGTAATTCCTCTGAGCCTGATCTTATTCTTCTAGAACCTGATCAAATTCATGAAAACACCCCATTTGTTTCTTCGAAAACATACGATCCATCTGTAAGTGTCTTTAACTTTACAAAATGTAACTGTATATTTCATAATCAGGATTCAAACACTTGCATATTCTTAAGTAAACAAATATGTTTGAACTTTGTAATCTCTCTGTGTGTTTAGTGGTTTGAAACTGAAACGAACCCCAAAGGCAACTGGCAGTTATCTGCTTACGATCATCCTCAGTTTAGGACAAGACTTATGAATGATCTGCAAAGGCCTTATGACCAAGATGAATATGAGAGACTTCTTCTTGAAGTACATCAGAAAAGGAGAACAGAACGTCATGTAGAAACACGTCAGGGGGTGGTCAAATCTTATTGTACTACGAGTGTCAACAAATCATATCTTGAGTTGTATCCTGGTAGGTGCAATATTTTCTCAACTAGTTTGACTTTTTGGATGTTCCTTTTTAATTTATAAATTGTTAATGTGAAGTTTACTGCTAACCAAGCTGTCAAGATCAAGGTTCAATGGTTTTGATTTGAACGTCGCATCCAATGTTAAACATCTCTCCCTTGTTATAAGCATGAACAAACCATTACTATTACTTAGTTGGATTATTCGAATGAGAACAGTTAATCTTTTCATTCCATTTGTCAGAAAGAAAAACTAGAACCTACCACCATTTTGTGTATTTTTTACAAACTGGGAGGTTGTTTCATCTGCTTAAATATATTCAGGGGTGTCTATGTAAAACCAAAAATCTAATAAAGGAGTTTGAGGGTGTTCTTGGACATATAGGAGGTTCTTTAACTAGTTCAGAAATATATTTTCAAATAAAAATTTATTCATAAGCTTGATTGTTAAGCTTATTGGAATAAGCTAAAATGAGCTTATAGAAAGGTAACAAATATCTCTTTTAAGGTCAAATTGAACTTTTTCCAAATGCACTGAAGTGTAATTTCCAAAAATCACAGGCAATGAGATATAATTAGAGCCACAGAAATGAATATAATTTAATATGCTCATGAGCTAATGAACTAAATCTCAATATCTAACGGTAGAGGAACATTTGATTCTCTCTAGTGAAGGTAGACCAAGGTACCTGCCTGTTATAGCTCTTGGAGCATTCTTGTGTCTGATTATTGCTGTTTAATCATATGAATGTTTGGGTTAGATTATTCAATTTCAGTCTGAATTTATGAAAATCTATCATTTGTGCCAGTTCTTGCTGCGTCTTTGCCAATCTAATGCCATTTTCTGTGAAATATTTGTTTCATGATTGTGCAGATCTAGCTGAAGCAATTGCTGAATTCAAAAAAACAGAAAAGGTTTTGTTTCTCTTGCGTGGATTTATCTTCTGGTTGCAAGTAAGTCAGTCAATAGATTTATGTTTACATAATTTCCTGTTTAGGCCATTTTTAATTTGAGTTAGATTTGAGAATGAAATGAACCTTGTTCTGAGCCGTGATTCAAATATGATTTAAGGTTTAAGGCACTCGTTTTAAGGTTTAAGTATTCAAATATGGTTGAACCTAGGTTGAACCGGTACTAGTAAAATATTAACATGATTAAATAATACATAAAATGACATTTATATTGTGACGCTAAACTATAAATAACCTATTTTTATAGGTTTTTATCATTTAAAGTGCACATAAAGAATATCGTAATACTCATGTCTATGCTTCAAATATATACAATAATATTCTTTAACAGTGGCAAGTTTAAATTTAGAATGAAAAAATATGACAAATACTTTAGATTGTTTTAATATAAGTAAAAAAAATCAACATTTAAAATCATTGTATTGAGCATTTTCATTAGAAAATGTTTTTTCTCAAAAAAGAAAATAAAATTCATTGGCTCATTTGTTTTACTATTTCTTAATTTCATATGTCTACGTGTTTTAACAGCGGTGACTACTTGAGTTCTTGTATATATATATATATATACCTTTCTGCTAACTGTGAATTGCATACAATTATAGATATCTTGACGATCTCACTTTATTATGTATTTTGCAGAATTTGACCCACGAAGGAAAATTTAAACCTTGGAATGACAATTTATGTTTGGAAATTTTACGGAAAATGTAGAAATGGAATCTTGCTATTTCCAAAATTTGGAAGGAAGAGAGTTACCTAACACAGTCAACAAAGTCTCTCTTCTCTCTCTCTCTCTCTCTCTCTATATATATATATATATATATATGTGAGTGTGTTAATTTTGTCTTGGAATTTAGACCTACTAGGAGAAACAAAGATTGTTGTTGTTCTGTTGTGGTTCTCAATGGGTGTTCTATAGGAAAAAAAAACACGTCTTGGAAGCTTTTTTATTTTCTGTTATACCACCGTGGTTCTCTTTTTGTTACTTTCCTAAGCTACTTCTTGTCGAGCTCAGATGCAAAGATATTTTGCATGCCTTAGTGTTCTGAAATATCTATTGTTGAAAATGAGGATAATGTTGGAACCACTTTGGAGCAACATTATGAAAATTCAGTCAATTTGATATTATAATGGTAAAACAGTAGAAGATATAAGTGAAATTTGAGAAAATTTAATGGGTGTTATTGTAAGTGTTTTATTAGTTTTGTCACTGAAGTAGCTTGTGGCTTCATTGTGAACAACGTATCTTATGCTTTGTGCTCTATGTTTTACAGAATTCTTCCATGCTTTATGCTTGCATTGGATGGGAAGTGAAATTGAGAGAATAAAAACTAATTGAATAAAATTATACGAGAGAAACAGAGTAGAAAATTAATTTTCTTTGGATGGATATAAATAGAAATGAATTATATATTGTTTTACAATAATTAAAAATGAAACTTTTAAACATAGTAAAATTATTTATTGTTTTTAAAAAATAAATATATTTTTGAAATATTTAAGTAAAAAAAATAAATAAAAGGTGATAAATGAGTTTTCTTCCCTGTCATTCCATTTTAGAGTTAAATTGCAAACTTCTTAAGAACAGGGCGCGATAAACGAAGGAGTCTGACAAGAGATTGAAAATACGGCAAAAAGATAAAATGATAAGATTTTTAAATTTTAACAAATTGTAAATGAAAATTGTTTTCAGAAAATGAAAATAAAAAATGTTTTCGTAAACTAAACACTATTCACTTAATTCTCTATTAAAGGTTTTATTGAATTTAATAGTAAAGGTACGCTTGAAATAAAATATAAATTTGATAGTATAAATAAAAAAATATTAACTTATCCATTTTATTATTGTTGATGAGATAAGAGTGAGATGGATCTTTTATTACGTCAGTCGAGGGTGAGAATTATATTTTAATCACATGTTCTTTAAATTTAAAATCATGACAAATAATATATAAATATGAACTAATAATATTATTATAACAAATAGAAGACTAAAATATCTTATTTTTATATACCACAAGATACAACAAGACGAAACCTTGCTCAACCTCTTACCACACTAATCAAATCAAAAGCCATTATCGAATCAAAACCTTGCTCAACCACTCCACTGTTTATTAACTGTAACTTTGTATTTTTATTTAATAAAGGATAATCTAGATTGAAATTCGTGTTTACAGACGTTGGCCACAAAGAACCAATCACCAAGTCCTTTTTCTTGGCAAAAATGATATAGGAAAAAGGGACTATTTTTTCTCCAATAAAAATGTTGGATCATTTATATGAAACAGATTAGAAGGGGAAGTAGAATACAAGCATGGACTAGAATTCAATTTTTTAGATTTCTTCAAACTTGTTCCCCAACCTTCTATCTCCTTTCGTGTAACTTCCACTTCAAGCTATGCAATTCTGGAAAATTACAGTTAGAAATTTAGTGACCTTGAAGTGATACAAAATTTGAATTCATTAACTGTTGTCAATCGGATACGAATTAGAATTTAAAAACTGATTGATCCAAACTCTGTTGGAGGTACAACGGTTAGGTTAATTATTTATTAAGCTTTGTTTTATGAATTATCATTGAAATCATCGTGAATCTACACACAAATTGTATAATTCCATATCATTATGATTTGTTAATTGGATTATAGTAGGTAATCTCTTGATGAAATTTGTCTATAAGGATGTATTTTTCTAAAAGAAAACTTGAAACCACGCTTAAAACGAAATGAAGGAAATAAGTCAAATTTTCTCTTTAATAAAATTTGATTATTTTATCAAATAATTTACAATATTCCGGCTATTAAAAATTTTCAACGCAATAATTTTCTTTTCATTACGTCTACAGGTTACCTAAAGGTCCTGAACAACATAAATAAATAGCAAATATTGTGCGGGATTGTAATTTAAAATCGAATCTGTTACTTCTAACATAATAAAAAATAAGTTTAATTTAATGGATTAATTCAAAATATAAAAAAATTTAATTAAACTAAAAAAAATTATAACTTATATTGAATCATCTATTTTAATCTCTTTTATTTAGATCATAAGTTTATGAAAATAATAATTATTTTTGAATAAAAATAAAAATGAAATTATTTTATTAAAAAATATATATATTATAAATTAATTTGATAAAAAAATTATTTATTTTAAGAATAAATATAAATTTTTTTAACAATCACTTCTTGTAAAATTTAACAATTAAGATTAATTATTATTTTAAATTAATAATTTATTAAAATAAGAAATAATAAACAAATTTTTAATTCTTAATTTAAAATTTAATATTTTATAACTTATATATTAAATAATTATATTTTAAATAAAAATTAATTTTATTAATATAATTTAAAATTTTAAAAATTATTTTAATAAATTATTTTATTATAAATATTTTAATAAAAAAAATTTCAAAAATATAAGATAAGAATAAACTAAATTTTGATCATATTAAATATAAATCACCTATAGAAACAGATAATGCTGAACTACAGCTCTCTTTCAATCAATAATTGACTAAGTTCGATTTTAACAGAAAATAACACAAACACCTTCCAAATAAATGATAAAACTTCATTTTAAAGTCACATTTTATCCATAACGATAGTGCGTATTAAGTTTGAGGGGCTTTAACTTCCCTCGATGATTATTATGACATAATCGAGTTAAACGCCACTGTGAAGTTAATTATCAATATGCCAATTATGTCAAAAGAAAAAATTTCTTATCTATATTATTCCAGATGTTATTGTACACGGAAAATCCAAAAAAAAAAAAAATTAAGGGGAGGGGGAGAATGTCCTGTTTAGTTACATTTAAGCTATTATGAACAAATGGGGAAAATTTGTGGGGGAAAAAGGGAGCTCTGTACTACCTAAATTACCTGATTAACAAACGATCTAAGTCTCCGGCCTTTTCTCGGAGGATATGGGACTTGGGGGATTGTGATGTTAACTTTGTTTTCAATAGAAGAACTGGTTTAATGAATTCATCAAAATCATCCAATGAATCAGTGTCACAGAAAACTGCTGGATCAAATGATAGATCAGCAGTGTCTGCGATTTCTTCATTGACAACATCAAGGCTGATGTAGTCAGAAAGTTCCTCTTTAAGTTCACCACTCTGTTTATGTCGCTTTGGAGCCACCATCATCCCAGATTCAGAAACATCAGCAGAATTAGAACCAAAATAGCGCCCTCTAGTGTTCTTCTGATCTCCAGATCTCTTCCTTTTCTTTCCCTTGCTTTGTTTTTTGGGGTGATGAAGTTTGCATTTGGCTCCTTCAGTACAGGTTCCTGTTGCTTCAAAAGTAGGACAGACATAGCTGTGCTTCTTCCGACACTGAAACAAAATAATATGGCAATCATTGGGTTAGATCACAAGGTGACAGGACAGGAAGTCGAAGAAAGCAGAAAAGGAGTCGCTAAACAAAGCAAGACTTTTCCAACGAGGAAAGAACTTTCAGTGGTTATAGACAATGGATAATAATTTGACAACTAACAAATACAGATGACAAGATTACAGCTCATCAGATCAACAACCAGGGAAAAGGATACAAGATGAAACTAATAACCACCATAAGTACAATGAAAATTCCAATGCTACATGCTTTTTGAAATAAATAAATGTGGAGAACATTCATATGCACTAAAATTGATTTAAATTATGGTAAAACAGCAGGAAAATGTCAGTATTCAAATTACGCAGTATCCCAATAGAAAACCTAACATGTTTGGTTAATACCTCATTCCCATCAGCACAATAACCCCTCAGAAATCCTTCACAAATAGATGCCTTGGGGTTCACATTGACATGTCTATATGGACAATTGCTGTTTGAACATAGGCCTGCCATGAGACAATGTTAGAATCACATTTTCATATTATTCACTAAATAACAAACAAAAGCCTCTAACGAACCTTGCAAAAAATAAGAACAATCTGGCATTCTCTCTGGAATAACCTGCATAACAAATCAATTAAACTCAGACTTCATGCAAATCAGTAAATACCATACACTACCATATTCAATTTGTTGGACCCAAAATGTTACAAAACCTGGTGTGTTAATTTGCAGTTGGGAGTAGAGCATAAACCATTCAGGAACTTGGTACAGACAGCAATTTTTGAGGGATCATGAATATAAGGACACTTCCCTCCATCCTTTTTACATTTCCCAAATCTGGTATAAAACTGACAATACTTCTGCTTTCGAGCCAACCGCTGTCGGGCAGTGTGCAAGCTCCATCTAACCTTTTCATTTGCCAATTTTCGAGTTCGTTTCTTTGGGTCTCTGATAAGCTGGTTACCATTACCAATTCGTACATATCTGCAAATGCTCATGGCACTCATTCAAATAAAACAAAAAGACTTGATATTATGCAAGCGTTTCCTTATTCACCTATTTTCATCTAAACGGCTTTTTAAACAAGAAACCAACAATGATTAAATTTGGAACACCACAAGATATGAAACACTGAAAATTAAGAATGTGCATACTCATCATTTCCAATCACTAATCTCCGTGGAATGTAAGCTCTTTTGGAAGCCAAACCTGAACTGGTAGATGCAGAGGACTGGGATTCATCGGCTACAAAGATAATTAAGAGAAACTTTGTAAGATGAACAAAGTCATAGAAAATTTTAACTTGTAGGGAGAAAGGCAACAAAATATTCCATATATTAGAAAAAGAACGAGCAAATGAAAAGGACAAAAGGACCACAATTCTGGATGCATTCCCAACATGGCAACAAAAGATTTCAGAATCCGATGCCCAACCTCCACCTTGTCAAAACAGACAATCAACTCTGTAAAACAGGCTAACTACTGTGGAGTATGGCACACGAAATCATCCATAAGAAGAAATTGTGAAGGTTCCAAGAATGGTACTTAATCACTTTCTTCCTGCATTTTAACCATCGTAATTCATACACATAATTTATACCAAAAAAAAAAAAAAATCATTTGGTCGTCCTTTACATAAGCTGTGGAAGCATATATTCACCAGAAGCTCAACTTCTGAGGAGAACTGCAGTAATATTTTCAGAACTGAACCAGCAAATGAATCAGTAAAAGTAATTTAAATTTACACTCATAATAAGAAAAAATCATATAGATATGTTAAATGTATGGATAAAACCAAGCCCAAATACAGAAATATATACTTCAAGTATCATTCAATGATTTATCACATTAATAAGTACACTAATATCATTATACTAATACATACTAGCATGATTTCTAACATGTATTACCCTGCATTGCATAGGAGAAAGGGTGGGTAACCTCATTATAAATGATAGCAAAAATCTTGTGGCATTGTCAGTTCCTAACTGTTGGGAATTGGACAAATTAAGAAGGGAATGCTGTGTTTTGGTAAGAAATTGGGAACAAATAATCAACTAGTAAAAAATTGGACAAGTTCAACTGTGACTATTCAAACAGCACAACTGGTTGGAGATCAATTTTTTGTTTCCTCCAGGGTTTTAGGGTCAATTGGAGTGGTTACAGCACCAGTTTCAAATTTTCCTGGCCCATCTGCTAGGTAGGGTTTGGCACCAAGTTTGGTAAATAGGGAAAAGACTTTTGGAAGTATGAAATGTATGCTGTAATTTAGTGCTTAAGAATATGAAAGGAGTGGCAGATACTGCTACTGCCTTCCTTGTTGGACATGCAAAGGAAATTGTGACAACTAGTCAATTACAGAGACTGGGATTAAAACCAATATAAAAAATTGCAAAAATTGTGTTCGATGTCCCAAAATCTCATCACACCATATACTTATAGTCCAATGACTGGAATCAGATGGCCAAAGACAATGTTAATCATTGACAGGTTTAAGAATCATAGAGTTGATATTGTCAATACATATAAAATACAAATTTGTTGTCTAATCTGAATGATGCTCTAATATACATTCCCCATGACAAATGTCTTCAATACTTCAAAGGTACAATGTCCCAAAAGCTGTATTCATTTAAATAATTGTAACATGCTAAAAAATGTAGAAAAGGTGAAAGGAAACGCAAAATCCAAGTAAAATGGTTTATATAAAAATGTTCACCATCTGAAATCCTCTGAAGTGTCCTCCTTGAGGGATCCATTCTGTATCGAACTAAACCAATACGAAATATACGCTCTCCTGCACACAATCAACCACTACTTTCAAAGTCAGAGTAACTGACAAAGATAATTAATACGATGCATAAGTTTTAATATCACAAAAGAGAGTTGTCGGCATTATGATATGATACGACGAACACTCATGGAAAGAATGCTTCCTACTCTTTGACTTAGAACTGATGCAAACCGCATTTTTCTGCTCTCTCTTCTTCCTCTCTACTGCAGCAACAGCAAGTGTAGCTTCCTAGAATAATCATAAGTAATTGCATCAATCATAGCTAGGATCTATTTTATCACTTAATACAAATTATGCCTAACTTGAAAGGAAACTTCATAAAAAACACATTAATATAAAACATCAATCTAACCTCGTTAGCTTGCTTTGAGTTCTTCTCAATGGATTTGGACCATTTTAAACTACACCCACCAACGCCTAAAACTCTAGACTTCCAAAGCGAAAACCCATGTTTTGACCTAGTGTAAACAGTATCCCTCTTTCTCAACTGAAGCAATTTTTTGCTGAAAGACAAACAATATTTGATTACTGCAATTGAATAATGTTGAGGCATACAACCAAAACAAGGCTAAAAAGTAAACATACATAGAGGAAACAAATCAAATACACAAGTACCTGATTGCAGATAAGGAACCACTATTGAAATTTGAAGCAAATGTTGCTCTTTTCCATGGAAACAATTGAGGCAAAACCTTTTGATAATGACGTGAGTTCCTGTCATTTTCAGAAGAATTTTTGCTACAGAGTGTCCACACTAGTGAGGCTCTTGAACGTTTGCATGAACTCCTGGCAACTGCAAATGAAATCACTAATTGAGTCAAACAGAGCATATAATTGGAACAGCACTGGGGGTTCTGGATTCATCTGATAATGGTGAGTTAAAACACAATGATTGAGAACAATATGTAACATTAATAAAATCATTTTACTACCAGCTCAAAACACACATGTAATCTATTATTAAAAATAAAACAAAACAGAAAGGAAAGCCATATAAGAAAAGCTCAAGTCATTAAATAGCAATTTGCTTGGAAGAAAATGCCATTTCAAAATAAGCATATAGACTAACGTACCAATTCCAGGAGGCTCTTCACTGAGTAAAGGTATGGGGGAGGGTCAATGTAAGCAAACTTACCCTTGCATATGTAAAGAGGCTGTTTCCAAATTCAAACCCTTGACCAGTTGGTCACCAAAGCACAACTTTACCGTTGTGCCAAGGCTCTCGCTCAATAAACAAGCATATACGATTACAAAAAATAAATACATGAATATGAAACAACTACAGTAGAAGTATACATAGCAAGTAGCAACTAATAAGCACTGCAATTCTTAATAAATAACCCACAGTAATCAATCGAAAAAAATCTATTTGAACCTCAAACAAAAAAAACCATCACATCCTTTTTAAGTTGCATGCTGTCAAATTATGATAAAACTCAGCCATAGACTCATACAAGCATGGGTGACTAAAAAACATAGATAAATTAGGCAATATAATAAGTTCTTCACGCATACCCTTATGTAACCGCCTCTTACTAAACCTCCTATTGCAAAGAGCATTACTAGTTCCTTGTTCTTCAGAATTTGCCATGCTATTATTAGGTATTGCAACAGCCTGATTGGTATGGCTATCAAATGTAGTCCTAACCAACTGATTTTTTCTTCTCTTGTAGTAGCCGTCGGAAAAAGCAGTTTGGCCATTGTCATCAGTGGAGACAGAAACATCACAAGAATTTGATTTTGCAACCAATTGATTTGTTTTGGGCTTGATATAAACTATTCTCTTTGTATTCAAAGAAAAAGGATTCCCATTGTTTGCTTCAACTTGACTCTCCCCATTATCAGATGGACCAGGTTGGTTTTGTGGAGTTTCATAATGCTTCAGTGCATCTTCAGAAGAGTTCCGGGCATTATTATTAATTTCTACAAATGTCCTAGGATATGATGCATTTTCACTGGAACCACCAGAAGGAGGTTCTACCAATGAGGAAGATGTATTTTCATCTGATTTGGTGTCAATTGGTAGTGGAGGTGTTCTCTGCCTTTGCTGAGAATATGTTGCTCCTGTTCTCATGTACATTGGTTGATCTGTCACCTCAGCCCTGCTTTCAGATTTAGTGCTTTTTGATATTTCATCTAAGCCCGAAGAAGATGACTGATTAATAGAGAAGATTTTAGGTAGAGCAGGAACTGCAGTAGGTTTCCTTACAAGACTGTTACCTTTACGAACATAAGAGGTATTTTGAAAGTTCCCTTTCCTTTCTAGAATTGGCCTTTTGGGAGGAACTGTTCCTACTGAATAGATTCTAGGTAGAGAAGTGGGAGGATTATTACCTGCCCGATGCCATGTTCGAGGCTTTGATACATGAGCTGAAGAGGCAGATGTCTTTGTCTTTGACTTTGAAAAGGTGAAAGAATGACCTGGAAAAGTTTTGGGAATGACACTACCTGACTGATTTTTTGTCCCACTCAAGCCAAAACTATATGAATTTAGAGCTTGAGTTGTAACTTTGGAAGAAACTTGTGATGGCTCTGAAATTGTTTTCTTTGTCATCATATTTCTGTGTCCAATTGCACGATCTGACTTAATATTTTGTTTAGTCTGCTGCACTAATGAAGTATTTTCTTCAATCCCACAAATATTTTCATCATTGATTGCTGTAAATTCTAAAATCCTTCTATCCGGTACTTCAGATGCCATCTCTTGAGAAAAGATATCTGATAATGCACCAGGTGCATCCACAATCAATTCGTCATTTGAATTACTAGTGGTGACTTCATCACCACTTGCGGGGCAAGACACAAGGATCTGCTGAGCAAGCAAATCATTCTTCATATTGAGATCATTAGGTTCCATATCAGCTCTTGGTGACCTTTGCACAAAGTCCCTATATTGGTTATTTTCCTCAACGGCCTGAAAATTAGTCTTTTCTCCCATTATATTTCCAACACACAAAACATCAGTTTGAGTACAACTCACAGGCACAGCTGGAGTAATGTTTCCTTTGCACTCACCTTCCAATGGTGAGAACTGATCGTTTGAAAATGCCAAGTCGTGACTTGGTGAAAAAGAAACTTTATCTGAGTGTTGTAATTCCAAATGCTCGGAACTAGTGGTTTCCCTATTTGCATCAGTATATTCAAAAGATCCTCCACTCAAAATATTGTCAGACATTGTAGTAATATCCTCTGAATAAGGTATTGACTGAGCAGTAGACGGAATACACATACCGATGCTTGACAAAGCAACTTCTTTCTGATGTTCTTGGTTATGATTGAATCTGGCGGGAGCTTCACCATTACATGTGGTGGTAGGCACAATCACAGCACTGATTTTTGATTGACATTGAGTGAAATTTGGGTTAGCTGTGACTTTTTTCCTTTTAGAAGCTGGTGAAATCTCATTTGCATCATCATTGTTGTTATTTGCAGCATAAAACTGAGTCTTCAAAGAAAAACCTTTCCCATGTAAAGCAGAAACCCCATCCAGACCAGTTATTGAGTCAAAATCGTTTTGAACAGATTGATCTAAAACTTCAGAAGCAGATGGATCATTCAACAATAGACTTGAGCCTCCATCCACAATATTTGCAAGGCTAAATGGATTTAGATGATCTGGGTATAAGCACTCTATCTCTGAACTCAAAAAATTTAATTGCGTTCTAGGTTTTCTCTTCATCTTCTCTGTGTCCCCTTCACCAGATCCAGCTAAAATATTAGAATTTAGGAATGTTTCTCCTGTCTCACAATTCTCAGGGTGTATGGTGACATCACCACGGGACACCTGCTTTCCTGCATCATGGATGATACTAGAACAGTGAGCACTAATGTTATCTTCTAAATTAGATGATCCGTTATCAGAACTGTGCTTCAGTGCACTGGCATGTTGTAGGCAATCTAGACCATCTTGAATGCTAGTTTTTCTTGAACTTGAAAAGGTATCACTGCTTTTATATAGTTCATTCCCTACATCTACAAGATTGCTATTCCGTGGGGATTGTAAATTTGAATATTTCCCAAGTGACAGAGACACTTCATTCTGGAACAATTGCTTATTATCACAATCCATGTGATTGACTTCAGAAATAGTACGCTCACCTAAGGATTTAGTAACACTATATGCAACATAATTATTTGCATCTAAACAATCGGAAGAATTTGCATTATCATGGACAGAAATAATATTTCCATTATCAAGGACATTATTAGTTGCATCTAAACAATCTGAATCACTCTTCTTATCTTCACTACTAGAGGCACATGATGGAAAATTTGGAATGTTACCATCTCTTTCAATTTCAGACTTGCATACTTCTCTATTATCAGAATCTTTGTCAGTCTTACACCCTTGCGACCTGGAATCTGGCCTGAAACTCTGCTGCAGTAAACCTCCCTCTTTATCTTCTTTCAATACATTACCTTCCTTTGGCAAAGAGTGCAAACAGTCTGGCCCAGCTACCTCATTAACAATATTTCTTTTCTCATCTGAATTAGCTTCAATTTTCGCAGTAACAGAGGTATTTGACGAACTCAGTGCAGCACTCACCACTTTCACAGTTCCAGGAAGACTTTTTGTCGGTAGTGAATTTGATACAGATGCCTTAGAGTTTGCAGTAGCTTTCTTCACCACTCTCTTGACAATTTTCTTCTTCTTGACAACCCTCGTAGTCGATTTACCGGAACAAACATTGCCAACTTTAACCGAATTTGGCACCACATTTTTTCCACGAGAATCATCAACCTCCCTGGCGCGAGACCGAGAAGAACTATACTCAACATTCTTCTGCACACTAGCCTCCTTTCCCAAACCAGACTTATCATTCCCTTTGAAAGGAGACTTATTTAAATCCACAACAACAACCGAAGACATTCTAAACGGTTGCTGCAAACCAGAACAATAGCCATCAGAGCCCAAAACCCTTTTACTCTTCTCTCCAGAACCCAAATCCGAATCCAAAACCGGCGTCACATTCAAATCAGGAACAGACACTGAACTAGAAGGCGGCACCGCCTTAGCCACCAGAGAATTGGACTCAAAAGAGATATCAATCTCAACAGGACTCCCCTCTCTCTCTTCCTCCTTCACCCCATGACCCAAATATTGCTCCTTACCCCTGAAAAAGCCATTGCTACCCTCAGGACCATAACCGGGGTACCGTAACTGCTCAACTTCGCGGTTCCTATGATTAGGTTTAATAGTCTGAAGCCTGAGAAGAGCACTTTTTTTCTGCACCTGTTTCTTAGGAGGAGTGCGTGCAAATTCATGACCACACTCTCTACTATTCCCTCTACTATACCTAACCACACTATCAGGACCATGATAATACTTGTCACTGTTACTACCATTGTTCAGTAAATTAGGAGAAGACTCGTGCAACTCTCTTCCCCTCTCTCGTTCACTCATCACCCACCTTTTGCTCTCGACCCGGGAGCCTCTACCCGCCACGTCAGCATCGCATTCCACGCTGTACACGCGCACGTAGGGTGCTGACTCTTCGTCGCCCTGGCTAGGCCCGTGGTAGTTTCCGCCGCCCCTCGCAAGTGGCTCCATGGGGTTCTTTTCGTAGGGATCCACCATGAGGCGTTCACGGCGCCCAGGATCGTAGCGTAGGGTTTCGATCGAGGGAGCCGGCGGCGGAGGGCGGTGGTGGTGGAATTCGCGGTCAAAATCGTCATTTCTAGGGTTAGGGTTCCAGGGGTTGGTGGTGGTGCGGCGAGGGAGGAGGTCGTAGGAGATAGGACGTGAATCGTCTTCGAGGGAGCGATGTGGGAGAGGTGTGTGGTGGTTGAATGAGAATTGTTGTTGTTGCTGTTGTTGTTGGGGTTGGGGTGTGGGAGGAGTGTAAGGTTGCGGCGGTGTAGGCGTGTGGAGGGTCCGGTGGTAGGGGAGGGGCGGCGGGGGAGGCGGCGGTGGAGGGAGGTTGTTATGGTGGTGGTGATGGTGGTGCGATTGAGGGTTGAAAGAAGTGTAACGGGTGGTTCGGTGGTCCTGGGGGTGGTGGTAGTGGTGATGGAGGAAGTGACGCTGATCCATTGGATCACAGTGTGGATTCCAATGAATCAGAGATTTGATTGATTGATTGAATCAGTGAATCTGAATTGAGAAATTGGGATATGAGATAAGAGGTGCAGTGTGTGCGAATGAAAACACGGTTCGTTTGAAGAAGACCGGGTTTTATTCGATTCAATTATTTGTTATGCTGCGTGGGATTGCGTTATGCTTAGGTTCTGTCTTTTGGATTCTCGTGACCCTTTTCAACTTTGCACTCAATGAGGTCTTTTTTTCTTTCCCTTACCTCTTTTGGTCTAGAAAAATATATTATAATCATTTTGATAGATTTTCACATGGTATTATATCTATAGGGTAAGTGGATTTTTTTATATTATTAAAATTTATAATAAATAATTTTTGTCATATAAAATTATAATCTATAATTTAAATTATGATATAAGATTAATGTGGACTATAATTATATTTTTTTAAATAATATTATTATAATCAAAATCATATTTAAAGATATAGAAGAAAGATAACAAACGGAAAAGAACAAACAATTAAATATAAATGTATAGAGAAAGATAAAAATTAATAATTTGAAATTATTGAAATATAATTATTCACTAGTTAAATTAGGATAAAAAATATATTTGGTTAGATTATATTAAGTCATGAACAAATCAATTTCTTAAATAGTATATTTAAAATAAAAAATTATTTAGATAAAATATTTATAAGTTTAGCAAAAATTTAATAATAAAAAATAAATTTCTATGATATAATTATTTTCCTCTCTTTCTTTATTTATATTTTTAATTTTTTAATTATTGTTTGTTATTTTTTTCTCCGTCCCATGTTTGTTTTTCTTATTTTTTCTTCCACTCTTGTTATTTATCTTATTCTTTTAATTAAAAATACAAAATTAAAATTTGATAAAATTGATCTTTTATTATTTTTAACTAACATACAAATATTTAAATTATCTAAAAATACTATAATTTAATCTATTATATTTTAAAAAATATTATATTATAGATTTGACATACTATAAATTATTATGCTATAATTATTAAAAAAAATATTCATTTTAAAGTAATTTAAAAAAATTAAAATTATCTAATATAATTAATTTTCATAACTCAACTTAATTCTAACTAAATTAAATTATTAAATAAAAAATACATTTAACTTATAAATATATGATATTTCTTAATTAGAAGAGTAATTTATTTATTATGATAAAATAATTTAAAATTAATTTTCATCAGAATTTTAAATAATTAACTGATATTTCTTAGTTTCAATATTAATTTTAAAAAATTTATATTAACACATTTTTATTAAATTTCAATAAAATAGTTTTAATTATAGAGTAAATAGGAGAGAAGATAGAAAAATAAAAAAACTTGATATAATAAATAAAATCAAGAAGGATACGGGAAAATCTAAAAAATAAAAAAATTATGAAAAGAGAAAAAGCAATCATATCAATAATAAATAATTATATTTAAATAAATAAATTAATTAAAATTATAATTAAGTATTTTTATTTTTGAAATATATTATTTATAGAATTAGTTCTTTACGTAGTTAATCACCATCTAGGTTTTTATAAAATTTTATTTATTTAAAAAATTATATTTTATATAACTTACAATATGTTTCAAGTTTAACATGCTAAACATAAATTATAGGTTTTTTAGAATATTTATGTTAAATATATTTTTAAATATTTTATCAATTAATTAATAAATATTTTTATAATACTTTATTTTGATGTTAAGTGTGAATAAAAAACAATTAATTTGAATTTTAAATCTATATAAAAATAAAATTATTGACTCATCTTTTAAAAAATATAAATAAATAAGTTTATTTCTTAAAATTTAAATTTAATAAATAATTAATATATAATATAATTATTTTTATATAATAATTAATTTTATATATTATCTCTCATGTAAAATATTTTTTGTTATGTCTTTATATATATATATATATATATATATATATATATAATTTCATAATCAAAGACTTTCAAAATTGTAATAAATTTATATATTTAAACTTATATTTTAATAATTTCCTTGAACATTGGAGGGTCTTTTACACTTTATTTGATTCTCAGCATTAAATTTCTCATTTTTCCTGATTCGATTTATAAAGAAAGACAAAGATTACGTAATTAATGATAAAAAATATTTAGTGTTAGTGATATCTTTCTATAGGTAATAAATGATATTTTGTAAAAAATTATTTTGATATCATATTATATATTTTGATATTAATATATTATTAATATTATAATAAATATTATTGTAATATACTTTTAATATTATTTTAATATGATTAACATTATATATTTAATATTAATACATTTTTAAATTATTTTTTATATAATCAAATATGTATAAATATTTTGATATTAATATTCTTTTAATATTATTATCTTATGATCAAATAATATCTACATTTTTCATATTTATATTTTTCAATAATTTTCTTAATATATATATATATATAATACAAATATTTTAATATATTTTCAATATTGTGATGAAATAAATATTATGTAAATATTTTAATATTAAATATATATTTTTAATTACTTTGACATTATTAAACATGATATAAATATAGTATGATTAAACATCATATAAGTATTATTATATTTATATTTTTTCAATAATTATTTTATAAAATCATGATACAAATATTGTTTATATTATTAATATATTTTGATATTATGTGAGAAAAAGAAGATAAAAAATAGTTTGATACTGTTTACTATTAAATTTTTTTTTTGGTCTAAACAGACTATTTTAATAGAAAAAACAATATATTATAACAAATTTAGAATCTGTGATAATAAGGTAAGATGATAAAGCTGGTAGACCATCTATTTTAATTTTTATTTATTTTTTATTCCCGTTCTTTTATTGCATGTTTAGTCCCTAAAGGTGTTTCTCTTGTGTTAGTAATGTGGTTTGATTCTTAATGATCACTGATTCATTATTTGCAACACACTCCTTTGTAGGTGTACATATAAGAAACTAACTAATATTCAATTTGACTGTAGGATGAGGTATGTGGGACTAGTGGTGTTTTCCAAATGTCTCTTTTGAGCATAATTTTCTATTTCTGCTTAACATCTAAGTACTCTGCAATTCTTCTAACATTCATCATTTAATTCAATATTTGATTGCAGGAGGACCACAGGGCTACTCTAAATGTTTTATGACTTGGATCAGCCAAATTAATGGTGACACTCTGCATTTATCATGCATCAAACATTAGCAACTCCTTCATCAGCCAAATTAAGAGATAAAACTTTGCTATTACAATAAATCATGATGGTGCCATGTTGACATTGATTGCTATTACAAGCACCTCACACTGCTTCATCAATATTTCCCCACAAAGTGACACATTTTCTCTTTTTCATTAAGCACACCATATGGTTGATACAATATATCTATGCTTATAACACAATTACAACCAAATAATTCTGAACCTGTCAGGAAACACATTCGAGTTAAAGGTTTAAACATGGTAAAATTTTTTACCATGTTAGTATAAGAGAAAGGAAACATTCTAAACGTCACAGTACAAGAAATTGTCATTAACTTTATTAGATACAGGAGAACTGTAATCATTATCATTAAGTAGTTTGAAGATACAACTCTTACTTTTGCACCAGAACGACAAAGAGTAGTGCGTAAGGCATAGTTTCCTGGACAATAAGGGAAGGAGGAGGGCACACAAACAACCTCTCATCCAAAACCCATCTATAAACTTCCACAGCACATGCTAAAGATACAATGGAACATGCCACACGGAAAAATTATCTACAAAGGATTTATATTCAAAAACACAATCCTTGTTCTAGCAATTTGCTAGAAGTTTGCTTAATCAAAGCTTGATGAACGGCTCCACCTGCCTCTCAAATAGTCCTCCAATGAGACGTTTTGCTCAACGCTGCACATGGAGAGGGAGTCGTCCTCCACATCACGCAGTGCAAGATTAAGGTGTGACTGCAGATTAGAAGGTGGGCAAGCTTCATCATCAATCATTTCTGGTGCTTCCAAAGCATTAACTTCTAGTCTTGCCCACTTGATCACATCAGTATCACCTCCAAGGAGCTTAGAGATCTGTGGTCCAATGAAACAGATATCACATTAACAATATGACAATGAGATGTTCAAATATGAAGATAAAGTCAAGGATGTGGTATTTGAACTCATGTGCCACCAGGTACAGGATTTAGATAAATTTTTCCATAAACACTTATAGAAGAAGAAAGTAAGAAGCTAAAATAAATTAAGCATCTTTCAAATGTTAAACATAAAATCTTAACTTCTCCCAATACTGAAGTGAAAAAGCTGATTTTAGCTCGGAGAAGAAACTCACTTTTACCTTCTTACGATCAAATTTATCCATATATGATCATATAGTTGCTCTGCTTTTTTTTCAACGTTTTCATAAGCAAATTTTAGCTTATCAAGAAATAAAATTCATTTTTTTCTTATTTCTCTCCTGAAGGGCTTATGAATAAGCTGATCCAAACTGGCCATACTACATATATAACAAGTTATAGTCTATAGATATCTCACAAGGCTCATTTGGGGTCTTGCTCTTGGAGCACGTCTGATGCAGAGTGTAGCTGCCAGGACCATCCTTTCCATCTCTTCACGATCATAGTTATCACCCAAACTAGGATCTAACAATTGTAATACCTTTCCACTATTTAAAATTGGACTTGCCTGCAAAAAGTTATCCATCATTTTTCCTCCAACACAGTGAGTATGTAAGAAGTATCAGAGTACGTGATAGACAACAATATTACAGGGACATACCCACATGACAAGGCTTTCTTGACCTTTGGGATAATCACTACTTATGGGCTTTCTCCCTGAAAGAAGCTCAAGAAGCACAACACCAAATGCATAGACATCAATCTTGTCATTTACTTTACCATACATGAAGTACTCAGGAGCCATGTAACTGCATAAATGAGTGTAATACATAATTTAGAA